GGTGGTTGATTCCGTGGATCCCGTTGGAGATGACGTTTGTTTAGACAGAATTACTAGTTTAAAAACCTATATAAAACAGCTTTATTGAGCGAAAACCCACATACCATAACAATTCGCCCGCTAAAAATGTATAGTTCAATCATTTTTAGTGTATTCACAGAGTTGAGCAGCCAGCACCCCAATTAATTTTAGAGCATTTTCATCACCTCCAAAAGAAACTCCCACCCATTAGCTAGCAGTCACTCCCCATTTTCCTCCAACCCACTCAGAGAACTACCTATTAAAATGTTTCAGGGGCACCTGGGTGACTCAGTTAAGCATCTGGCTCTTGATTTCAGCCCAGGTCATGACCCTGAGAAGGGCCCTGAGAGATCGAGCCCCACATCAGGCTTCGTGATGAGCATGGAGCCTGCTTAAGGCTGTCTCTCTCCCTCTCCCTGTGGCCCTCCTCTGCCCTTAAAAAATGTTTCAACGAACTCAGTGAAGCAGCTGGCTTCATCTGGCCTCTTCCAGGGGTTAGAATCTCATGGAATCCATTTTTTCAACAAATAATTTCATTCTGAAAATAAGAATCTGTACAAAAAAAGACTTTAATCAGTGGTTTTCTACTTTTTACCCTAGTGATAGTGCTCAGAGCACCTGCAGCCATATCTGGATTTGGGGGGTGGCTCACTGTGGGCTTTTTTTTTTTTTTTAACCCATTCCCTTTGTTTAAAAACAAAAGCTTTACTCTTGCCCTTGTGATTCTTGTGTATCACCCCGAGGAGGGTCATGCTCAGATAAGAATAATTGAATAAAGGATTAGAAGAATATAGGAATGGTCAGGAAAAACCAGGGTATGTTTGGTGGCAAATCTTTAACCTTTGGAGGTTAATCCCAGTGAAGAAGCCTTCCCACTAGGAGTCTCAGGGTTCTTTCTTTTCTTTTCTTTTTTTTTAAGGATTTATTCATTTTATTTTGAGAGAGTGAGAATGAGAGAGAGAGCACATGAGAGGGGGGCGGGTCAGAGGGAGAAGCAGGCTCTCTGCTGAGCTCCAGGATCATGACCTGAGCCGAAGGCAGTCACTTAACCGACTGAGCCACCCAGGCGCCCGAGTCTGAGGGTTCTATCAACAGAAGCAAGGTAAGGGACCCAGAGTGACAAAGCTGATCTGCAGCGATGGTGACCGGGAAGGCTGACTTTGGAGTTGGTGCGCACTGCTACAACTTGGTTAATTAATAACGTAAGGGAAGGCAGGCTGGGCCCAGGGGTATGGCCTCATGGGGACAGAGGCCTGAGTCACAGATGGCCCAGTTGGCAACATGACGGTTCACTTTTGGGAGGGAAAAAAAAAAAAGTGACACAGCCTTTCTCAGAACAGAGCGACTCTGATTCAGCCAAGTCACAGGATACTGCTGATCTCAGAAGTGGGAGGGACCCGGCCACCACAAGAGGGCAGCACCTTCCTGGGATGAGAGACAGCGGCCTGCTGTGCTAGCCAAGGGATGGGGGGTGGCAGTGTTTGGAGGGATGGGGGGAGATGGATCAGAGACAGTACAATTTGAAATATATATATTTTTTGAAAAGAGATGGGGGCTACCTTGGGCAGGTGCTGATGTATGGACAGCCGTACCGCGTTACCTTAGAGCTTGAGCTTCCAGAGTCCCCTGTGAATCAAGATTTGGGCATGTTCTTAGTCACCATTTCATGCTACACACGAGGTGGCCGAATCATCTCTACTTCTTCGCGCTCCGTAAGTGTTCCTGGCCTGTCTGGGAGGGTGCGGAGGTGACAGCCGATGTCAGAACATCTGGGTAGGGCCTCAGGAGAAAACGTCCTAGCTCTGAGGTCACAGACTCATCAGGACAGGGAAGAGGAGTCAGTTCACCAAGCCAGACAGACACCCTATATATCTGATGAGCGTGTCCAGCTTTGGGGGAAAGTCTGAAGAGTGGAGCCAAAATGGGGTTCTTTAGGGCCCCAAAGATCTGGAATCCTCAGAAACATATTAACTGGGGGGGGGAGGCGCGGAAAGAAAGAAAAATACTAGTTGAGAGACAGCTTCTTTAACCCCTTGGTTACAAAGCATTACTAACGGGGCATGTTAGTAATAGTCCCGTAGCAAGACCAGTTTGGATTCGGTGAAGAAATGTACAGTGTTTATGAACCCATAGTGGGTCTTCAATAAATACTACGATTCCATTCTTACATGAATTATCAACAGAGCCACATGATGAAGCAAATCTCTGAATGTCTACATGGAGAAAATTTCAGGTGGTGCACTGAAACTTAGTCTATTCTGGATGGTAGAACTGCTTGAGGGAAAGATCAGAGACCATGTGGGGCTTGACCTGTGCAGGTTCTTCGAAGAGGGGAATGGAGACATGGTCAGGCAGGACAGCCTGTTACTCAAGCAGCTGGAATGGTTGGGCCAAGGGTAGGGGGAGCGTGGTAGGAGGTGAAAAGGAGGGAGCGGGGGACCGGAGGAAGAAGCCGGCTTCACAGACCGCTCAGGAACCTCGGTTGAGGGGTGGGTAGGGCTGTGGAAATCGGGGGGGTGGGGGGGACCTGTCCCCAGCCTCTCCCTCCTGGCCCTGGCAGGTGATGTTGCATTACCGCTCAGACCTGCTCCAGATGCTTGACACGCTGGTCTTCTCCAGCCTCCTGCTGTTTGGCTTTGCAGAGCAGAAGCAGCTCCTGGAGGTGGAGCTCTACTCGGAATACAGGGAGAACTCGGTAAGGGGGTGAAGGAAGACTAGAGACCGCTCTCCCCATGAGCCCAGGGTTCTGCTTGAGAAGCCTCTGGGCTCGGTCAGCCACGGAGATGTTGGGAGTGGGCTTCACACTGGGCTGGTAAGGATCGATCGTGGCCTGACCCTCCCCTCCCCTCCGCAGTACGTGCCGACCACCGGAGCGGTCATCGAGATCCACAGCAAGCGCATCCAAATGTACGGGGCCTACCTCCGCATCCATGCCCACTTCACCGGGCTCAGGTGAGGCAGCGCTTGGCAACTCCCGCAGGAGCTGTCCTTAAGTGAAACTAGCTTGCATTTTCCTAGAAATAATTTCTGGGAAGTGAGGAGGCTAGTGCTGTCCGGTAACTGCCACCCTCTACCTGCCACAGGTACCTGCTGTACAACTTCCCGATGACCTGTGCCTTCATAGGCGTCGCCAGCAACTTCACCTTCCTCAGCGTCATCGTGCTCTTCAGCTACATGCAGTGGGTGTGGGGGGGCATGTGGCCCCGACACCGCTTCTCTTTGCAGGTCACAAAGGACCTCCTCCCCCTCCCCTTTGTGATCCTTCTTTGACTGAGGAGCGGGCTGGGGCGTGGCCAGGGCTGGGGCCCCGAGTGCCTAGATCACACTCTCGGCTCCCTCCTTTCTCCCGCACAGGTCAACATCCGGAAAAGAGACAGTTCCCGGAAGGCAGTGCAGCGAAGGATCTCTGCCCATCATCCAGGTAGACAGGACGGGAGGGGAGCGCCTGTGTTACCCAGTATAAAGCTTTAGGCCCTCACAGCGGGGCTGAGGGGCAGAGGGCAGGCTGGAGGAGGTGAGCTTGGCCCCGCTGCCTGGGTGCAGCCGCGGTAGCCCTGCCCCGTCCTCTACCCACTTTGGGGGCACAGGGCCCCAAGGCCAGGAGGAGTCAACCCAGCTGTCAGACATCACAGAGGACTGCGAGAGCCCTGAAGATCCCCCGGGGGCAGGTATGTGTTGCAGCCTGCCCACCCACCCTCCCCACAAGTCCTCGGTTGTCCCGTTCAGCCTCATCTCGTCTGACCTCTGCCTTCCCCCTGTGGCTGCAGAGGGTCAGCTCCCTGAGGAGGAGAAAGCAGACCAGCGGCCCTTGAATGGAGAGGAGGAGCTGGAGCCAGAGGCCAGTGATGGTGAGGGGCGCTCAGCGTGTGGGTCTGGGTGGAGTGGGGGCAGCATGGGCGTAAGGGAGGACATGGTTGGGGGAGAAGAGCCCCTGGTTACTTAATTTCCCATTTGGGATTTTGTTTCTCCCTCCTCTGGGCCAGGTTCAGGCTCCTGGGAAGATGCGGCTTTGCTGACGGAGGCCAACCTGCCTGCGCCTGCCCCTGCCCCTGCCCCTGCCCCTGCCCCTGCTCCTGCTCCTGCCCCGGAGACTCTGGGCAGCTCTGAACCCTCTGTGGGCAATCTCCGACAGCGCCCCACCTGTTCTAGTTCCTGAAGAGAACAAGGCAGAGTCCTGACATTCCAGTCCTTTCTCACCTGACCCCTTCCCCAATAAACTATTTTCATGCCAGTTGCTTGCCTGACTCCTTGAAATGGATTCAGGGCCATTTGAGAACCCTGTGCTCCCCGGGCATCCTCCCCACCGCCCTGCATTGGAGGAGGTTGTCTTGTCGGGGGCTGCCTGCCGACGGGGAAGGCCTCCAGACCTGGACTATCCTAGGTACAGCTGTCTCCATTCACAAGCCTAGAAAGTCCAACGAGAGAAAACCTACCCGGCCTACTCCATCCACGTGACTCTGGGGAGGGGGATCGTGTAGGGCGGGTCTGGAGAGCCGGGCTGCATCATTCTGGCCCCTGCACCCCTCCCTTTCTCTGTCCATTGGGAGGCAGAAGACAGGAAATGACTGCCATGGATGTGGTATGATTTCTACCCAAACAGCATTTTGTAGCCCAGGCCCCATGCGGTCACAGTTGTTTTCTTCTCTGATACCAGCCAGGTGGCCCTCTCTCCTCACCCCTCCACATAGCCTCAGCCCTCTGATCCTCTGCTTCTGGCTGCCCGCCACATTCCACTCCCGGCTCCCAACCCAGGCATCCTGGCCTCCAGATGAAACAGCTGCTGTGCCCCCCACCCCCCATCCCTGGCCCCGTGACTCAGGCTCTCTGAAGGGACCGGCCCGCTTCTTGGCATTCACCGGGAAAGGGGGGGGGCAGGGGAGGGGGCCTAGGTGGTGACATCATAGTGGAAGGGTATAAAAGCTTCGAGCCAAAACAGAATTGAAATCTGAAGACACTGACAAGACCTGCCTTCGAGCCTGTGCTCCCGGGGTCACCCTGGCTGCACCCCCACAGACCTCTGGTCGGAGATTTGCACCGCCGCGAGACCTCCCCGCTGGTGAGGGGCTCCTGGGGGCCAGGGAAAGGGAGGGGTGGGAAAGGGGGGGGCGGCCAGGCACTGGTGTTCCTTCGACAGGTAGGGAGGATTCCAGGGTCTTTAAGTTTCCCCCTTCTATTCCATCTCTTTGTTCTCCTTTCTGTGCGCTTTCGGGTTTTTGCGTGTGTCGCTGACTGATAATTGTTTTACTGAGATCTTTTCTTTGGGTGGCAGCTGGGAATTATTCCACCTTTCTTCCCCAGGCTGAGTAAATCATTTCCTCTTCTTTTCCCCTCCAGCACTTTGCTTATTCATTAACTGTTTCTGGGACTTCACCATTGCCGGTCACACACCCATCTCTCAGGGCAGCCCACATTTGTCCCCCCGCCCACCCCCGGCCCTCCGAAACCAAGTCCATAGGCTGTTCAGAAGTTGGTTGACAACTAAGTGTGTCCACCTCCTTTCCTCCTCTTTCCTGTTCTCTTCTTGGCCCCCAGCTCTGTGTCCCTGGCCCCAGAGGTTTTGTTGAGGGAGGGGGCCTCGAAGGCACGGGGTCTGGACAGCCTTTTCCTCTTCACCTCCTTCCCTTCCAGACCCCATGCTGGACTCTCCCTGCCTTCTGTGGCTCCTGGCTGTCACCTTCTCCTTAGTGCCCAGAACGCGGCCCTTGGCCCCTCAAGACCTTACGGAAGAGGAGGAAGATGAGACATCACGGCCACCTCTGCAGGCTGTCCTCTGTGACTACGACAGTTGCCGCCACCTGCAGGTGCCATGCAAGGAGCTGCAGAGGGCTGGGCCCGGGGCCTGCCTGTGCCCCGGGCTCTCCAGCCCTGCCCAGCCTCCTGCCCCGCCGCGCCTGGGAGAGGTGCACGTGGTGGCCGAGGCCGGCAGCGCGCTGGTGCACTGGTGTGCACCCCCCTCCCCGGTCCACCAGTACTGGCTGCTGCTTTGGGAAGGCGGCGGGGCTACCCAGAAGGGCCCCCCGCTCAACGCCACTGTCCGCAGAGCAGAACTGAAGGGACTAAAGCCTGGGGCCACTTATGTCGTTTGCGTGGTGGCTGCCAACGGGGCTGGAGAAAGCAGCGTGCCGCGGGCAGGTGGGGAGGGCCTCGAGGGGGTGGGTGGCCCTGCTTTCGGGCCCTGCGGCAGGCTGGCCATGCCCCCCAGGCCCGTTACCCTGGTCCACACGGCCGTAGGGGTGGGCACGGTCCTGGCCCTGCTGACCTGCTCTGCTCTGGTCTGGCACTTCTGCCTGCGTGAGCGTTGGGGCTGCCCCCACCGGCCAGCCTCCCCACCAACAGCAGGGCTCTGAAGCAGCCCGGGTGCCTCTCGGGCCCAGCTGAGCCCAGGCTTGCAGAGGAGAGCTCGGCCCAGACTCCCCTGGGCAGCCCGGGCGCCAGAGTAGAAGGCCAGGCGCCTGGGGCCACAGCTGAGTCTCGATGCTCAGCCTGAGAGCTTGTTCAGGTCCCAAACTTTCCGTCCTGCTCCAGGCTGAAAGGAACAGAGGGGGGTTGGCAACTTTTTCCTTAAAGGACCAGAGAGTAAATAACGTAGGCTTTGCAGTTCCAGAGGATAAGATCAAAGATAATATGTAGGTGCTTCTATGGCCATGTAACCACGTAAAAACGTAGAAACCATTCTTAGCTCATGGGCCTTTTCTTTTCAAATCAGGCTCCGGCCATATTAGGCCTATTGGCTGTAGTTAGCTGATCCCAATCCCTGTCATAGACCCTCAAAAGGGCCCTGTCACGTTGGTGGCTTCGGTGGGATTTTGAGAACAAATTGCTTCAGGCAATTTGGAGTTTGGGGCAAGACCACTCCCTCTTTTACCTTTCATTTCGATATTGAAGATGGGCACACCTGAGTCGGAAGCCACCTGTGTTTGACGTGGGTGAAGATAAATGACTGACATGGGGTGGAGAACCAGGGACTGCCTAAACTGCTGTCTGGGGCATTTCCCAAGTCCAAGGATTTCCCCCACTTTCCCTCAATCTGTGTCTATTGTATATTCACTGTACCAACATTAAAGGAAATATAAAACGAAGATATTTTCATTTTTCCTGACCCTTTTCATTTCTCTGTCCACACACCTATTTCTCAGAGTACTGTATACTTTTAAATTTATCTTTAACTGCATACGGGCCACCTGGGTGGCTCAGTCAGTTGTGTCTGACTCTTGGTTTTGGCTCAGGTCATGATCTCAGGGTTGTGAAATCGAGCCCTGCGTCAGGCTCCGATCTGGGTGGGGAGCCTGCTTGAGATTCTTTCTCCCTCTGTCCGCCCCCACCCCACCCCCGGCCAAGTAAATAAATAAAACCTTTAAAAAATAAAAAACAAATCAACTGGATGTAGAAAAGTCTGAGTTGCGGGCGCCTGGGCGGCTCAGTTGGTTAAGCGACTGCCTTCGGCTCAGGTCATGATCCTGGAGTCTCGGGATCGAGTCCCACATCGTGTTCCAGTCCCACATCGGGCTCCCTGCTCAGCAACGAGTCTGCTTCTCCCTCTGACCCTCTTCCCTCTCGTGCTCTCTATCTCTCATTCTCTCTCTCTCAAATAAATAAATAAAATCTAAAAAGAAAAAAAGAAAAGTCTGAGTTGCTACAGAGTATAATCCTCATTTTTGCTGGCCCTACAACTTTTTTTTTTAAGATTTTATTTATTTATTTGACAGAGATAGACACAGTGAGAGAAGGAACACAAGCAGGGGGAGTGGGAGAGGGAGAAGCAGGCCTCCAGCTGAGCAGGGAGCCCGATGCGGGGCTCAATCCCAGGACCCTGGGATCATGACCTGAGCCAAAGGCAGACGCTTAACGACTGAGCCACCCAGGCGC